AGTTTGTCGGGTAAGCATCTCTCTGTATGCTTTATAATTTCAACAATTACTTTTTCTTAAAAACATTACAAATACATTTTAAACAAATTTAAATTAATTGTTATGACCTCTAAATAATTTATTGTAAATACAATTTATGGAATTAAGTTGTATATATAATTAACATACTAAAATTTACATACTAAATTTTACTATTTTTTTTATAATTATATAAAGTTTATAACAATCAATTTGTTTAAAATAACGTGTTATGTTTTTAAGTCAAAAAAGAAAAAAAAATTCAAAAAATTATGCACAACAAGAAAATTAACACGTATAGATTTGATTTTCAAAAAAAAAAAATTAATTTGTTTGTAAAATTTTTTTTGACCAGATACTATTTATAACAATTATACACAAATAATTAGGTTAAGTATTATTTCATAAGCTTTTTTACTACTAATAATACGAAAAAAGTAAAATTTCGCAAAATAAACATTTATTTTCAATTGTTTAAACAAATTACCTGGTTTAATAAACAATTTACAAATTAACTAATTGAATTTTTATAATCCATGCAATGAGGTAATGCAAATTAAAAAAAAATCTTAAGTACAATCACAGATATTGCAACTTTTATAAATTTGAAGTTTTGAATTTAGTTTTTAAAAAAGTAGAATTGAGAAATAAAAACAAGTCTTTTAACTTGGGTTCAAACAGTCATAAGTGATTGCAATTTTTTGAAATTCCTGTATCTATATTTCAAATAAAATAAATTAAGCTTTTAACTTGTTGATTTCTCTGATTTGCTACATCTACTGGTTGGTTAACTGTTGAATTTGATGAAAAAGGAACGAGATCTTAACGTATAAAATCTTTTCACTTTGCTGGAAGTAAAGATCAAGAAGTGTTCATAATGTTGCAAGCTACTACTACGGCTGCTCCTCGTCAAAGAAATGTGGATTTAGCTGTAATTTTAAAAGAAGCCAATAAAAGTTCAAAATGACCTAGTAAAGTTAAAAAAATGTTTTTTGACAACGAAGTTATACATTAACACAACCTCTAAGTTAGTTTCAAACAACAATTTAAGTAAAATGCAATATCTTGATATTAGACACCGAGCTATTCTCAAACACTGAAACGTATATTCAGATTACAAGCTTATATGGCTTTGCAAGTTACGATGTAGATCGTATAGAATAACAGTTACTGATATTGTGCAACTTTATCAATTTTGTTGCAGCCACAGCCGAACACACTGTTGAAATTCAACAAGATGTAATTACAAGAGAAGGTAAATGGCTTTAAGTTAATGAAATTGGTACTAAAATCGGTATCGTTCCGAATGTCGGTCTTTACCCTGATAAAATTTTATATGTTTTAATTTGTATTCATCTCCTTCTTAAAAGGATAAACAAAACAGCCTTCTAGAAGAACAGAATCCCTCAACCGATAAAGTATTGTCGGGATACAGTTAGAATTTGTTAAAGAAACAACCATATTCTAAAATAAAAACATAATATTAGAGATCAACAAATAGCAAATTTTAACGACACAAATCGACAGAAAAATTAGAAATGTTCTTACTGTAACTAAAGCAGTATATGTTATCCGATTCATGGATCTACTCGATCTAACAGTCGTAAAAATTGAAGACTTGGGAACAGCCACAGAATATCCATATGAAAATTGATCACAATATAAAATATACACACATGTATTCGTATTTTCGAGTGTACATAGATCACATATTACAATATTTACTAAATCTATAGAAAAGTAGTTAATACAAAGATAGAAACAGAGAAATTTTAAAACCGTAGAAAAACATTTAAGCTAAGATTTTAAATAAATCTCATCTACGAGGCTACAAAACTAAAGATGACGGATTTGGAAGTACAAAAATTATAATTCCGTTCGTTGTGAATTTCATTTTAATTTGAGATCGGATTTAAAATAACAAAGAAACGCAAAAAAATGCGTAAAAAGCATAAGCATTATTTTTTATACAAAGAAGCATGAAAATAAGCATGTAATTTTCGGTAAACCATTTTTTACAACAATTGGCCAATAATCCTTACCTTACTTCCCAAAATCAACACTTTTCTGTGAATTTAATCTTGAATACAATAATTAAATATTCGCAAAAAAATGTCTTATGTATTGTTAAAAATGAATCTCGTTTTTGTTGTACAAGGTTCACTTTTATTTTGCATAATTTTTTAATTAAATGCATATTTTTTTATTTATTTAAGTTATTTATAAAAAACGTGACTTTTTTCAATAAAAATTCGTTTTAAGAATAAATAGACCAAATAGTATTAATTTTTTAAAAAAATTTATAAAATTAATTAGTTTATCGATTTCAGTAATTATTTTAAGCACAAGAATTATTACATTGAGAAAAGGTAGCAACCACCCCTGAGGAGAAACCACAAATGACGTTATACAACTTTTTTTATTGGAGCACTTCCCCATCAACTCACCAAATTTTTAATAAATTGGTTCAGTCCAACAAAATTGGACGGTAAATAGCCTGAGTGACTGGAGTATATCATCAATGGCATTACAACTATTCGTGAGTCTTTGTGGTCTTGTGTGACTATTTTCCATTGTCTCACTCTTATTTTATTCACGCCCTTTCTGAGTACATCTTTCCATCTTTTCCGGGGCCATCTTACATCTCCCATCTAGTAATTTCGTCGTCTTCTTCTTCTTTTTATGTAGACACAATGCTATCTGTTTTTCAATATGCCTCCAGTACTCTGCCGTTTCAATGTTTTCGTGGTCTTCCTAGTAATCGTCTTTCTATTGCGGAACCGTCTCTTACCATCTTAACTGCTCTATTTGTTGTGATTCGACTTATAAAATCGTTCCATTCTACTCTTCTATTGCTATTTCCTTCTAAAACTGCCTGGGGTATTGCGGGGTAGATTGAGTAGCTCTATGGTTATCACAACCGGTCCCAAGTCCGAATAAAATGTAAAGGGTTATCAGCGAGGTTAGCAGCCTATTAATCTTCGAAAGAAATACTGCTCAAAGAAACAATGTACAGCTTTTAAACTAAATTGATATTATGAAGATGACCACGGCAAGAAATAGGAACAAGCAAAAAATATCCGAAACGCAGATGAGAATTCTTTTTCTCATGGCGCCGTCTCCTTTCGAAGGTTGGCGGTCCAAATGGCAATTGTGGTTGTGGAAACTGCTGCTCAAAAGATTTCTGCAGATGAGCGGTCGAAACATCTCCTCGGGTTTTTGAGCTATGAGTTCTAAAGTCTTCCTACTGATCTTTTAACCTGTACTTTTTCTTCCAATACAACTTGAAGTAATTCATATCTTTCGCCTCTCAACACATGACCCAAGTATTGCATTTTCCTCTCTTTGATTATTCTTAGTAATTATTTTTGTTTACACATTCGACGAAGTACCTCGAATTACTTCTTCTTTGTTTATTTCTGGGCCTTTTTCATTTATTCGAATATCTGTGGATGGTAAAGAACAAGGTCTATCGTCGTCAAAAAGAGTTTGTATGTATTCTTTTCATCTCTCTAGTTTGTGTTCTGAACCCATAATTATTTCGTTTTTATCATTTTTTAATATTGTTGCTTGTCTCTTTTTGTATCTACCTGTTATTTCTTTTACTTGTTTATAAATATTAAAGCTGTCATATTTTTCCTGAAGTTGTTCGATTTCTAGACATTTTGTTAGCATTCAGTTTTTTTTTCGCCTCCTTGCACTTTTTTCTAATGATTTTATTGATTCGCTTGTATTCTATTGGGCTTTTTTTATGTTTTCGTCTCACGTCCATGAGGTCCATGATCACCTGCGTTATCCATTCTTGTTTTTTGTTGTGTTTAATGAACCCGATGTCTTATTTTTGTTTTTAGAGCAGTCCATGTCACTTCAATGTTTGTCTTACCAAGTTTTCAATCGTTTTTATTTCTTCTTTAGGCTTGATACTTATTTCTTTTTTTTTTCTTGTTTAGGGTTCTTCAGTTGTGAGATGTCTATTTTTCTTGTATAAGTAGATGAAGATGAAAATAACTACATGGAATATTATATCGTACAACTCAAGAGACCACGAAATAATCCAAGTAATAAAATAGAAACAAGTACGTTTGCGCGCTCTAGAGGAAACAAAAAGGAAAGGACAAGAACAATCAAAATTGGTAAATACTTACTAATCTACAGTGAAGTCAAAGAAAACAGGACTAAAGCATATGTAACCTTACTAATACACTAAAACTATCAAAATCTTATTGAAGAGTGTCAAAATTTATCAGAAAGGATTGTTCCATCAAAGAAAAGAATAGAGAAGAAAGACCAAAACATCATCGGAGTATACGACCTAGAAAATAATAAGCCTTAAACAATAAGGGGAAAGTTTTATAACGAACTACAACAAGTAGTAGATCAAGTCAAAGGGAAGATGATAATATTGGGGATTTTAACGCTCGAATAGTAATACCTGGAATTAAGCAAAAATATAGTCTTTTCTAAGACACAATATTTATAAGATGCTTGTTATTACTGCGTATCACATGTCCTGTCCATGTTAGTATAGTGGCCCTTATCCATCTTATTGATTGTCACGCTATCGTTACAAGCGCCATATATTACTTGAACAATTTTATGTTCCACACCAACAATGTATTAACTTTTTTTTGTTAATTTCCATGTTTTTGCTGGTTGTATTATGGTTTTGTATATCTGGATTATTAATACTAGTTAGAGAAGTTATGACCTTATTAGATATTGCATTGCAAACAAAGAAATCGTATTACTTCATTGTCATTGGTCACTGCTGCTCCTACATCTTTAGGATACCAATCATTCTATACAATTAGATATGCACACAAAAATAAGAAGTTAATATTAATCCTAAGGTACATCATCTACAAAATTATGTAGACTCGTACTTCTTGCCAATTTGTTTATTTACTGCCGTTTTCCAATACCTTTTGCTATTGATAAGATAGTTATTTTGTTCAATTGGGAAATTTAATAATTATTTTTAGGTATAACCAGAAACGGATTCAGATTATCATAACATGTATCGTAATCTCAGTTTTACTACTTCTTGGAACCATAACCGCTATAATGATATTTCATCCAAGATTTAGAACAAACAAAGGAGTCGTTGTGTCCAACGTGAAAGAGTGTGCTGCGGTAGGAACGTAAGTTTTTTTTTTATTTTTCGTTATTTATTTATATTTTCTTTATTATAACAAATATTAAGAAATTTCAAATTTTAGTTCTTAAATCTTTAACTGTGTGTTAACCCTAGAAGGACTAAGAGTGAGTAAAAAACATCTACAACATTGCATTACATCCGGTTACGATTTTTTTATACCTTTGTTCCTAAAAATCTCAAATAATTAGTAGTTGTCGGTATAATATTGCTGTATTAGATGCCATAATTAGCATTTTTATAATTTAATTCATTTCCATAATTGATGGATTAGACCGTTACTTGATGGAAATTCATTTTATGTAACAATAAAACACTGAAAACTTTGTTTTCAAACTTCCACAAAATTTATTTTAACTATTATCACTACACCTGTTTCGGCTGATAGCCTTTCTCAAGTGATCTATTTTTGGCTTGGGTTTACAAATTTATAGTCTCTAATGAAATAGGTTGAGGAGGGGAGAACTGTTTGTCTCAAGTTGGTCATTCAGAATTATATCTGTGTTTTTTAATTTGTTGATTTCCATAGATTCTAACAAAGATAGCTTAAGGCCTTTATTTTGAATATGAAGAATTTTAAATTTGTCATTAAAAGAATGATTATAATCTACAAGGTGAAGTGCGTATGTCGAATCTGTTTTTCTATTTTTGAAAGCCCTTTTATGTTCTGTTATTCATTTATCAAAGTTTCTACCAGTTTGACCGATGTAAGTTTTTGGGCAGTCGCCACATTGAAGTTTGTACACACCACTATTTAAGTGTTTTTTATTTTGGCTCTTGTTATTTTTAATATATTTGCCTATATTTGCCTTTAATATATTTGGCAATTTTTGTTGTTATTTTGCCTGTATATGTAATCGAGCAAAAGGTACTGGGTTTTTTCTCTGGTGGTGCAAATACTAATTTCAGGGCTTTCTTGTGTAGTTTTTGATTTAACGTTTTATTAATTGTTTGTTCGTTTTATCCTTTGTTACTGCTATTTGCTTAATTATATTTAATTCTATCTCAAAGCTGTATTTTGACATCGGAATTTCTGTTAATCTATGTAACATACTTTGATAAGCTGCCAGTTTATGGTGTATTGGATGGGATGATGAATTGTGTGTAGTCGTGTCAGTATGGGTAGGTTTATGAAATATGGAGAAGTCATGTTTGTTTTGAAGTCTGCTAATTTTTAAATCTAAAAAATTTATGGATTGATTTTGTTCTGTTTCTATTGTAAATTCAATATCACTATGAAGTGAGTTAATATACGATAAAAATTGGTCGAGTTGCCCGTTAGTTCCTGTGAAACATACCAGTACGTCGTCTACGTACGTAAGATTTCAAAACATCCCGTATTCAACAGTTTTTATATTGGTGGAGATAACAGAAATGTAGAGATCTCTTCATCTCTACATTTCCGTCAGACCGGGAGCCCATTCTGTCTCCGGCTTCTATACAATATGTAGCTTCTCCTTATAAATTTTAAAGTGTTTGTTTGTCTTAGTGTATTGTATTTTGTATTGTTATGTCCAAATTTTACATTTATGAGATTCTACTATGTCGGATAGGCCACAACTGACGAAATGCCCCTGAAGATGATCTATTGATCGAAAGTACTTGGACAAGATTAAATTAATCACCGTGTTCGATAGTTGCCTTGTATACCCTCAAAGTTTAATTATTGGAACATACAACCTTATATTGAAATTTGAAAAACCCTAACTTTTGTGACTGATCATAATAATTGGATCAACCACTGTATATATGTGGACATTTATTACCCCCCTCCCCTTGGTCCTTGCTGTTTATAATAAAAGGTTAGTCCAGCAAGGGTTATTAATAGAAAAAGACAGAAGTATTAACTGTGACAACCGTTGACTCCCACGGTGACCTTAAAAATATTTAAACTATTGGATGGGGGTGAATATCATTTACATTATTTATTATTTCTGTTCTTATATACGGAAAAATATAAGAAGCAATATATGGAAAAATGTAATGTATGGTAATGAAATCATATTCTATGAATAAATGAAAAGTCTATTTTTTCTATTTTGTAGACAGTCGCTTTTCGTAAGATGTCGAAGATATATTAAATGCCAAAAAATATTAACCCAAAGTCTGTCTGTCGTTGCTAATTTTAATATATAAATTAAGTAGTATTTTATATTTTCAGTTCCATTTTAGGAAAAGGAGGAAATGCTGTTGACAGTGCAATAGCTACCCTACTCTGTGAAACTATTTCAAAACCAGATCTAAGCAAAACAGGAGGGGATTTCGTAATGACCGTTTTTAATCAAAGCACGGGCGAGGTGTTTGTGTTAAATGCAAGAGAACCTCCTCAAAATTCAACAACCGAATCTTTCGAAAAATACTATGGAATTTCAGGTAAATAAATTATTTATTGCTCATGTAAAGAACGGTTTAGTTTATTTATGTAATTTTTTTAAGTTATTGAAAGAAGATTTTAGTTGTAATCTCATTTAACTAAATTGTTAAATAATTTAACTAACAAATAGAAAATATTGTTTTAAAATTAAATATCTCATTTGGTACATTCAATAATTATAATATATGTTATGTAAAATATATATGTTATAATATATGTTAAAAAATTAAGATTAGAAAGGGTAACCAAAAACAGAGTTAGGGAAATAATGAATGTGAAACACACAATAGTAGATGACATTAGTACCAAACAGCTTAGATGGTATGGACACGTACAAAGAATGTCCGAAGAACGACTCCCGAAATAAATCCTAACGTGGACCCCTCATGGTAGACAAAAAAGAGGAAGACCCCGCCTTAGTTTGAGAGAAGGCATAAATAGAAATATGAGAGAAAGAGAATTAAAAGAAGACCTTTGGATGGACCGAAGGGAATGGCGACTAGGCATCGGAAGACGTAGGAGAACGTTTTAAAACCGATATATATATATATATATATATATATATATATATATATATATATATATATATATATTATATATATATATATATATGATTTCTAATAGCAAAGTTTTTGTGCATGAGCCCACGATGGTTTTTAAGTTGGTACGACCAATTTTCGACAGATAGCGCCAGTGTCATACCAATAAATGTCATATATTGCCGTGACAGTTCATGCTGATTTGAATTGAAATGAAAACAGAGAACGAATGATAACGTTTATAGTTGTGGGTTACGCAAGAATTTATGTAAATATTTTAATTTATGTTCGGCACAGAATGAACAAACAAAATTGTGCATATTTTTATATTTTGAAGCGTTTTTCAAATAGTTTTGTATATTTTATTGTGAGTTTAATTAATTTAAACAATTAAGACCATTAACCTTGACACGCACTTGGATCGCTGTCTTTCTTGGAAATAACATATCTTTAACAAACCAAAACAACTTGGACTTAAATTGAGAAAAATGTATTGAGTCATTGGACACAATTCAAAACTATCTTTGGCTAACAAAATATTACTTTACAAGTACATCCTTAAGCCCATATGGATTCAGTTATGGGGCACTGCTAGCATCTTCAATATAAACATCTGAGAGATTCCAAAACAAGGTGCTGCGTGCCATAGTCAATGCGCCATACTATGTATCCTACGAGGTGATTTAACACTACATCCCCCTAGAATCTGTGAAAAAAGCCATACAACATTTTAGTGCTTAATACTGTGAACGACTGCTAGTGTATCCTAATGCGTTTGTTCGACAACTAATATGCGGAACGTCTTTGAAGTGCGTAGACTAAAACGGCCATTGCCGTCCGACTTATCCAACTGAACATAATAAGTGTACCTATACAAACTAATAAAATTTTAATTTTTAGACTTGTTGAGAGGTTATTCACTGGAGTAACGCTCTACATGTCTGCATTATTTTTACCATACCAAATGCTTAATGCCCAATGGGCAGGTTGTTATACTCAATGGAGTTAATAAAAAAAATTAATTTAGACAAATAATTCAATCATATTAAATTGAATCGGATTTTTTTATTTTAAAGTTTCGGCGAATTGGTAATCACCGTCGATATTAACATTTCCATTCGTATCCAATTGAATAGGATACATTGTGATATTCGGATTAATGATTGACATCTAATAAATTTTTTACGTCCATATTTGCCATAATATTGACAACCTGCTTCCCATTAAATTTAAAAAAACTTTTAAATATAAGGACTACATGAGTAAAGATATTCTACAGGACATTTAATTAAGACCAAACGTGTATAACAGAGCATTGATTTTGATTAAGAAAACATGGTTGGCAATAGCTAACAAGTCACTGGTACAACTAAAAATGCCTTTTCGATCACGATTTGGATCAAGAAAAACATTTTGATTCTAATGAATTTAAAACATTTGTTTACAAAAATCTTCCGCAGTTGAGAACAGGAATAACGCACTGCGTATGACAGAAATATGTGTGCAATCACAAAATAAAGCAGTAAATAATTTTTCATAGATGCGCTCAGTATTACTAGCAACACTTTTCTTTTTTCGCCCATTCTGGCAACAATACATATTGCGAGAACATTGAGTGCGCTTGCTCTTACACTGCGTTATGACAATCGTCGCAAGTTTCTGCATTCAATGTGAAGAATCAATGCTTTATCCGACCTGCTCCTTCTTCTTTTAGTGTAATCTTCACTAATAAAGGTGGACTATAACTATTTTAAATTTGTCTTTATCTTCTGCTTTTCTTAAGAGCATCTGTGTGTTTAAACTGGTCCACTCGCGAATAATTTTCAGCCAGAATATTTGTTGCCTATCAGAACTCCTTTTTCCTTCGATTTTACCTTTCATAATTAGCTGCAATAACTCGTATTTATCATTTTTAAGTATTTGCCCCAAACGTGCTGTCTTTTGCCTTTGAATGGTGGTCAAAAGTTTTCTGTCTCTTCCCATTTTGCGCAACACCATTACGAATATCGGCAGCGACCTACTTACGAGTCGGAAAACCTTCTAATTTATTCCTTTATCTACCAGAAGAAAAAACACAAAATATTGTGTACCCCACAGACTTTTAATAAATATCAAATTGAATCAAAACTCTGCAATGTCACAGTTGTTTCGAAATGAACAAAATCGATAAAATAAACTAAATATTTATGTAATGTCTTTCCATCAAATTTATTTTAGTTAAAATTGTTTTAGCAGTAAGACCACAATGCGATTTGAAATGGGCGTATCACTTACTTTTCTACACTGCTTATGCCAGACCATCTTTACTCAGTGGTGCGCTGGCCGACGGGTAGTTTATTGATAACAAATGCATTATTCTTCATTTAAATTAGTTTTAACATGAACTAGCTGACCATACGTTAATGATATTTGACGTTACGAAGGCGATAACGATCAAACTAAGTGCCAATGATGAGTACCACGTTTCACTATTAGATTTTAGTATTTTTTAGCAATTTTCTTCAAAGTTGGAACACGCTTTTCTCGATTATTACTGGACACAGAAAGGTGAAAAAAATCAATTATTACAGAAAGAAAAACTTTTTCAAGTGATGGTTGTAAAAAGTTTGGTTATAATAGAACATTAAACAGTATAATCCAATTTTTCAACAGAAGTTTCAAAAAAATAAAAAAAATTTAAACCATCATTTTAAAGGTAACATAATTTCGAACAACGTGTCCAAATTTCGAGACATTTTGTCGGTAAATAATAGAGAAAACACTGTCCCTATGTTTTGGTGCACCAATAAAACAGCCTTAAGCCACTCCGCAGGGTACAACTAGTTTCAATATAAAAATTATTCTAGATAAATTGGTAGTTCCTGTAGAAATTCGTGCATATTGGACAGCTTACAAAAGATTCGGCGGAGGTGTCTCCTGGAAAGAAATCATTGATCCCACTATAGATTTGTGCACATCTGGTATAGAAATATCTCTACATACAGCTAAAATTATTAAGCAATATAAAGAACTCATTTATAATGATCCAGTTTTAAGGTAAGATATTTTTTAGTACTACTCAAGAATAGTAGTATTCTTGATTGAAAATATTGTTTATTGATATCGGGCATACTAATATTGATCATTTTTTCAATTGCTTTCACCTTATTTTAAGACAGCTCATTTTTTGGAGGTAGGAGCATTGGTATATTATTTATTTAAAACAGGACATTGTTCTCTTTTATTAGTAATATTGCCATAGCCAGAAGCTTTTCTGCCAAGCTTTTTCGAAAAAATTTAATTGTAAAAATTTGAAAAAATTTAAAAATTTGAAAAATTAAAAAAATTGTAAAAATTGGAAAATACTGTGGTATATTATTTCGTAGAGATACTTTTGTGATTTTTGCGTAAACGACATTATATGTGCTTCTGTTAAACTTTGTATATATGTATTTGTTGGGATATAAGTTAGCCAACTAGTAAAGAACATCGTCTCTTAGCATGCTTAAATATTTTTCCGCTGTCAAATTACCATTTACAAATATAGGACCAATAATATGATCTCCTATAATACCTGCCCAAACATTTAACTTTTAAGGATACTGAGTGTGTGTCTCGCGCATCCAATGAGGATTCTCCGCTGACCAATATCTGCAGTTTTGCCGGTTTACCTCTCCGTTCAATGTAAATGTTGATTCTTCAGAAAAAATAATTGTGCCAAGAGCTATTTCATTTGTTTAATTTTATCCATCATTCTTTTGCAGAAATCCTTCTTATGATCTTGATCGTCTTCTGTTAGCTCCTGCAAAAAAGTCAATTTATATGGATGAAGTTTTTTTTCATGGAGTCACCTTAGGACAGTTGTGTGACTTACATTATTTTGACGTGCAATTTGACAAGAATTTGACGTTGGATTCTCTGCGACACTTAACAAAATATCCACTTTCATATCATCTTCAATGAAGTTCGATTTCTTTTTAATGATTTGACATGTCCAAGTTCTCTGAATTGTGCATACATTTTAGACACAGTACCTTGTGAACTATTAAGCAACTAAGGATACCTCTGATTAAATAAGTTTGCTACATCAACTTGACTTCTACAATTCTCCCCGTAACCGATTATCAATACAATCTCAATTCGGTGGGTCTAGGTTCAATATTTCATTTTTATTTCTGCAAGAAATTAGCTTTTCATTAAGAATTACTTATGTTAATGTAAAATATCAATAACATGTCAACTGATTGATAATAATCCGCATTATTTACCGATTTAGTTTAATTAGTCTATATAGTTCTTACCTATTCATGAAAAAAAAAATGTTAACACGGTTACTAAACAGAAATTTTCCCCAATATACTGACACTTAGAATACTGTATTTAGTTAATTTAAAGTAATACCATAACACGTGATAATTGATTAATTTCAAAATTTCACCTTGTATTACTCATTATATACCCTACATGATATAGTTTGTTGAGATCAGGTTGTTAAGAGTCTTTTAAAAACCTAAAAATATACAGGGTGTTTTATTAAAAATAAGGATTATGGACTGTGTCAGATTTGCGTGGATCACCCTGTACAGTTAAATGACTCTTAAATGTACAGTTAAATGATTTAAAAAGCGCACATTTAAATTTAAAAGTTAACGTGTCCCAAAATTTTTTATTATTTTCTATAATAAGGACACAAACAATTTTATTCCATAAGTGGTTTTCACAATGTATATATATATATATATTATATATATATATATATATATATATATATATATATATATATTAATTCAGGAATTCTACAGTATTTACTGCCTTCCCTCGTTCAACCATTTCCATCTCTCTCTGTTTGTTTCATTCTCTTCTTCTGTCTCCCCAGGATCTTCGGGGTCGTTCTCTTTTCCTCTTTCCTATGGGGTTTCATCTGGTTAGTTTCTTTATCCATCTGCTGTCGCTAGTTCTTTTACATGTCCATACCATCTATGTCTTCTTCACTTGTTGATAAGTACTTGGCCTTGGTAAATTCTTGTTGTAGTTTCTTCACCATGTAGCTGAGGTCGTCCTGGGCTTGTGCAATTACTATTTGATCGTCTACAAAGCTTAACGTATAAAGGTATTCGTTTCATACCGGTACTCCCATGCCCTCGCATTTTCTTTTCCATGTAGTCAAGGGTTTCTCTAAGCATATTTTGAATAGGGTTGGAGATGTGGAACAACCCTACAGGAACCCTTTTGTTGTGATGAAGTCTTATATGACTCTTGTTCCCACTTGAATGGAGATTTTATTTTCTTTATACAGAGCTTTTGTAGCTTCTATGAGTTCCGTCTGTATTACGTTTGGTACACAGTCATACGCCTTTCTCAGGTCTACAAATGCCAAAGGTATATCTCTATTTTTTTGCTTTTTTCTTTTCCAACAGTTGTTCCAGTGTGTATATGTGATCTATGCATGATCTTCCTGCTGTGAAATCTACCTGACATATGTTTACTCTTATTTACTTTCCATTTTATTGAACTGCTTCTTTGCTTTCTTGACTTCTCTAAGCCATTTTTGGGAAGCGACGAATTAATGATTTCACCTACATCACTCTAATATAAGTGAGGTTAACAAATTAAAATAAATGTAATATTACATGGTTATCATGTTATCTCCACTATTAGTTATTTTATTTATATTATTTGAAAATTTTGATATTTAAAAGAAATAAATTATTATTCGTATCTAATATCGTGACGACGATTTAACGGTTCAACTAAATTAATATCTATGCTTGTGATCAAACAACGGCTGTAGGAAGAACTTTTTTAAATTATTTTCACACTTAATACAAAACGATAATTCGAATTATATTGTACCAATAACTCATATTGGATAAAAATGGCAGATAAAACTTTGTTATTTTAACAGGACGCTTTGCATTAACTTTCTAGTCTCGTATATGAGTTTTATCAATATTTTTCCAAGACATCTTTTAATTACCATTTTTAATTCTAATTGGGTCAAAGCTACTATGGGATTGTGATCATAAAGTTTAAGCTGATCAGATGCAGTTTCTAAATCGACTTTTTATAAGAATAAAGTCGGTTTGCTTTCTAATAATTTTATTCTCTGATTTTGGATCTGATTTCTAGCTATAGAGTGTTCTTGGCAAAATTAAACAAGTTGATGTTCACGTTCATTTTTGTTTTCTATGCGATAATTGCCCACAATGTTCAACCAGTGTCTTTTGCCGAATTTGCCGTAAATATTCGAGAACAAAGGTATTTTCTGTTGCTTTAACAATATCTACATCAGCAAGATCTTTGTAAAATGCTTCTAAAATATTTTCATCACTGGATAATATTGAGACGTCTCAATTATGTTGACAATGAATCGCTTTAAATTAAATTTCACTAGGATTACTCTGTCAAATATGGGGATAAAAGTTACTAATGATTAAGCAAGTGACGACTGCAACTTCAATAGAGTAATTAGCATGGATATTTCCGACATAGTACACTTATATTCATCTACATCACTATAATAAAACAATTTGAAGATGTCTTAAAACAAAAATTTATTATAAATTTTTTTTTTAGGGAAACTTTTATTAATACAAAAACTAATGATACATACATCCAAGGGCAAGTCTTCACAAGGCCAAAAGTAGCAGAAATGTTAAAAATAATAAGTGAAAAAGATATTGATGCTCTATTTAACAGTACTTATTCCAATGGATTAAATATTCATGAGAATGGCCTATTTTATACCGACGATAAGGATAATTATGAGTAAGTAAATTTTAAGCGAAAATCGTACAATCTATCGCTGTATATTAATTTATGATAATAAGCGTGTGAGATCGTAGCAATACAGACGCGTGGCGCTTAGAAATCTTTGTTTACATTTAAAACTGTTTTAAATAAGATATAAATCACTTATCCTTGTCAAAATATTCCTACTTATACGTGAAGGTTTAAAGATTATAAAGCTTTTTGTAGAATTGTAGTTTATTAATCAGTTTTTAGAAAAAAAAAAATCAGAAATATCACTAATTTTGTCATTTTTTTAACTAAAAATTGCATACAACTTAAAAAAAAAGCATTCTTCGAAAAATTACTAGGAGCGAAAAAGTATTAACTAAGATACGTCTAACCAAATTTCACCATTCAAAAGCCGTTCAAAAAATTGTTTTCTTTTTTCCTTTAAACCCAAAAAAAATTCCTAAAAAAAAGTTATTTGTTAATATCAATTTCCAGCCCACCTGGCAAAATAGAAAAAAAAAACGGGTATGGCAGTCCAGCGGGACTGCCGGTAGAAGTTATACTTCTATGCACGCCTTCGCCGTTACAAATTTACATGGGAGTCAATCTGCACAATCATCACATATTTAATGCTATGGGTAAAAGAGCAGAAAGAGAAAAAAATATTTATATAGGTATATGGGCATCGTTTGCTGTATATAAACATTTGACCTGTAATAGGAGTGTAGAAAATGAAGGATTGTATCAATATTTTAATAAAAATATATATTTATTAAAATACCTAACCGAACAAAACAAAAAGAAGAGGGAGACATACGAATCAATAGAAATAAAAAGAAACTCCAACGCAATAAATTACAAAAAAGATACACAAAACCTAAATAAAATATATTTCAATCTCGAGAGTGGAAGAGATGGAAAATATATCTTCTGTCTCTCTCTTACTCCTTATCGTACATATGTAATGGTTTCACAGATTCACTCCCATGAAAATTTCCAACGCCGACCGTGCGTATAGAAGTATAACTTGAAAAATATATTTGAACTTGAAAAATTATATAGAATCAAATGAAAAAGGTTTGGTGTGGTAAAAATGCATAAAAAAATTATAGGTTAGCGCATTCTGTTTTTAAGCCACTTTTTAGGATTAAATCGCTCGCCTAAAGGTGTCACTAACAAAATCGACAAATTGTTCAAGAAACAAAATCAAGGGAATAAAGACAATATTTACTCCCAAACTAACATCTCTTATCCGATCAATCAAATACAACATTCCAAATGAACAATACGAAGTTTATGAAATTTCTTGTGCAGAAAGCCACCGATCTTATATAGGCCAAAAAAATCGTAGAACCCAAAATAGAATTTATGGACATTTTATTTCTGTTTGCAATTCAGTTTTATCAGTTTTAGCTCTAGGTCAACATTATCGTCATAAAGACCCATAGCTCCATCCGCTTCTATAAACCAAGAATTATTCGAGAAGCCATAGAACAAATTGTCTTAATACAAGAGATGATGGCATTCGGTTACCTTCGACATGGAAACCTCTTATAAAAAAAATATCGTCCGCTCGACCCTTTTCTAAATGTTGCTGTCAGAAATATTCGCATTAACCCCCTGCGCCAAGCGTCATGCTAACCTGTACCTAAATCAAGGCACCATCGACGAAATAAACGAACCATCCACTGTTTTCAGTAACAGTGATGCAGAAATTAGTGATCAGTGTTGCAATGGCTGGAGGCTCAGGAGATTGAGACCTATTTGATCGGAAAGTTGGATTAGTCGACTGAAGTTGGTTGGAAAGTCGATTATAAATTTTTTCCGCAGAGGTTGAAAAAGGCAACCTTAATAGAAAAGTGTTACTTAAATAAGTTTTTGGAAATAATATTAAGTATAAAATGATATGTTTATTATATATATATATAAAGGTAACATATTCTTTTTTATTTTAGATATATTTGGCAAAAACCGATCGCTGTAGAACTTGGAGATGGTAAAAAACTAATAACGGCACCACTTCCTTCTGCCGCTGCTGCCGTTGCACTTTCCCTAAAATTCATAGACAGCTTCCGAAATATTACAAGCTTAAATTTGACCAGCAGTGAAACTACCTCAATTTTTCAGTCGGCATACCAGTTATTATTTTACAACTATATTCAATCTAATAATGTCACAGAGGTAACCAAAATATCGTAGTTTTTAAATTTAGTTTAATTAAAATCATTGACCAACATTTGTATACAGAGTAAACTAGAAAATGAAATACGGCTTTCTCTGTTTTTTTTTTAAGTGGATAACCTTGTATTTTATTTCTATAAATATTGTATTTATGATACTCTTATTTTTTAATAACATTCTCTATATCTAAACTCATTATTTTTCTTTTAAGATATTTTTAGTTTTCTTCAAATTTCGGGAATAAATTAAATTTTTATAAGTAGAAATAAGTATTAAAAATCGAATGACCATTAAGCGAAAATAAATCATTTGCATTTAACTCATCTTTTACCATTAGTGCGTTAACGCACCAGTTCAGTTTTAATTTTTTCTTGACCTCAGTAATCAAATATTTTGAAAGTCATAAAAAATACACCCTTTTATATAACACATAAAATAAGTCTACAATAAATATTAAAAAATTAGTAAAATTGGTGTAGTCTTTTCGGACGTTCATCTTTTATGTATGTTTTGAACTATTGATTTTCCGTATAGTTTAAAAATATGTTAAAATTAGTAACAGGAAAGACTGAAATTACAATACTGTACAAAGAAATGTTTGTGTCTTTTCAATTTTTTTTGTAACATTACCCCAAACACCAATGGTGCGTTAACACACCACTGGCTAAATATGTAGTTTCACTACAATCTCATAAAATATCAGTGTCAACCGCTCATCCCCACTAACAATGTTATTGGAGTTAGCCTTGAAGACCCTTAAATTATTGTAATGTTGTATTTATCTTTACATTGTAAACTCGAAATTTGGTTTTATTGTTTTTCCGATCGTTTACAGGTAGAGACTAGAAGAGAACACATTTTTGCTTATACATTCTTTCGGCTTCTAAAGCAATCCCACAGACTCACCTCTTTACAGGAACTGAAACCTAGATGTTCTTCATCCCCTTCTTCCAATTTTTCCTACACTCTTGAAAATTCGCGATGGCGAAACCAGTCCGTTCAGACTAGCGGAACTAGTGAGCTTTGCCTCCGCTCGTAGAGATTCCCTTAAAACATTATAGACGCATTTATTACAGCAGTAACAGCGTTTATTTCAGGTGGTGACTGGCGTCTTTTACAATAATAAAGAAATAAGAAATAAGAACCCTACCTAGATTAAAAAGTACAAAACGTTTAGTTTGAGTTATCAATCAAAACATCAGAACTAAAATAGAAGTTAAAATAATTTGCAGAACAGATATATTAAAAAAGCTGTAGTGTAACAAAGCAAAAAAAATATAGCCAATACGGATGACAAAGTTCCAAAGTTAGCACTGATATTACTTAATAATAATAGACATTATAGAAGTTTATATTTAACTTTAATCTACTCTATAAACTATTTCATCAACTTGTTCTAATCAATAAGGGACAAAGTAAAATTACTTCAAAAGTTGTATCAGAAGAGATCCACAAATTCAACAGTTATTCATTTGAAAGTGTGTGAATTACTATTAGTGGAATCATACCAATATAAGTATATATTTAGAATCAGTTAATATTACACTAATACATATTAATACATTAATATTACATTATTAATCAACAATACAGTATTTCTAAAAAACAAAATATAGGATGATCAATTTATAACAATTAAGACAATTGTAATTTGTTTTGTAGTTTACCCTGTATACACATTTTTGTAAATGATTTCAATTAAACTTAATTTAAAAAGTGGAATATATTGTTTATTTTATTATATGAAATAAATAATTGGTTATATATTACTTCTTTATATACATGGTGTTGATTTTGTAGGGATTTCGAAATAAAAATGGTCATAAATTAAACACTCTGTATAGTAATGCAAAAATTAATACTGTATGAGCAAGTATTATAAGAAGAATACAAATTTAAAAAAATACATAGGGTGTCCTATTTAAAAAATTGTGTGGATGCTATACCACATAATTATTAATCACCCTGTAGAATTTCACATATTTTCTAAGTGTGGAGAATTTCATTTAACCCCCTCTGTGGCTCAGTGGTAAGAGCGCCTGCCTTTAAACCTAAAGGTCGTGAGTTGGAATCTTACCTGGGTGGGAATTTTCGTTTATTAAAAAAAAAATTAATAAATAAAAATAATTTCTATCCTTGTGTGATCGGTACTCACCGGAGGGACCGCAGACGTTTGGATACAATTAGGGTCTCTTAGCAAAGACAATGACGTCGACTTTGCTAAGTATCAAGACAATTACTCTACACACACAAACACACTACAATAATAAACTTAACTTGATTGAGACTGGCTGAATGACAATTGTCGAAGCCAAAACACACACACAAAAAAAAAGAAGAGAATTTCATTGGCTACATTTTTTCTAAATAAGTTTTTTTGTTATTCTATCCTCCTCCTCAGTCCTAATTCCTTTTGGAATGTGGCGACACCAGCAGGCCTTTACAGTTTTTTCACGATTTCCCTTCATCCTTCCCTATTCTGGGCTAGTTGTTTGGCTTCATGTAACTCTTGGGTATTTAATAATTTTGTTTGAGGTAGCTAACGGCTTAGAGATCTTCCCCTAGGTCTCTTTCCTTTAACTTTATATATATAACTTTATATAATCCTATATATATATATATATATATATATATATATATATATATGTATTGTTTCTTTGCTACCCCCGAATATTAAATAAAAACTTTTTTAATTCCTGGGTTTGTTGGTGCGTTATAAATATAATACTTGATTATTGCTTAAACATTACGGCTAACTGCCATTTTTTTTAAACACTTTAATTATCCCAACAAACCATATTATAGATATACACTACAGTGGAATGTCAAAGTTATATTTGCCACATGAAAGCCACAAGGTAGATAATTTAAACTATTACCGGTTGAGATATAATTAGTTCAGATAAAGTCAGATAAAATTCTGTAAACATACACAAGATATTCAATATGTCTTCCAATTTTGTATTTTATGCAACAAACTTAATTTATTGAGGTTTGATATTGAAGAGATCTTTTATATCAATCTTTATATTGATAGTATTTTGATTTTTTTAAATGTGAATCATCTCCAATATACATATTTTGTTGTAGTTCTGTTTTTTTTTTGTCCAAAATCTGTATGTTTTTAAAATCAAAAGAATGGCTATTTTTAAAAAATGCTTAGCTAAATTTCTAGCGTTTAATTTGTTAGTTTGTATACTATGTTTGTTTCCAACAACCCATTTATTTAGATATTGGTGTATTTGCCCAATATATGATGATTCTGTACAATTTATTTTACAAACAACATCTGACTGATCATCATTACCTATAAATCAATACACTTATAATTTTAGGTTCTACAAAATGTTTTAAGTTTAGACCCCAGCAATTTTACTAAAAATTTCATAGCAAATGTCCAAAATTCCAAAGTTCCAAAGTTTTCTTCGATTGAAGCTTTCAGTATTTTACCAGATGATTATGCTGCTGCCCATGTAAACGTGCTTTCAGTAAATGGGGATGCTGTGTCTGTGACTAGTACAGATAATTACGAAAAATTGACAAAACTGTAAGTTTATAAATATATATTTAATTATATGCAAATATTTTAATAGTTCCAAAAGTACAAGTTTATTATATATTATTTATCGCCATGAGGTGTACTTAGTTTTTAAGTCACTAAGAAGCTACAAACATTTTTTTAAACTCTTTATAAATCTAATATATCTGAAAATCTAAATTTGCTTTATTTTTTCTAAGTTTATTAGTAGAGAAGAAACGAACACTTTCAGATTAACATGGTTATCAAAGAGAAACAATAAACAATAACACTCTACGAATGTGGATTGATATGAAACTAGCCTTGATAGAAAAAACAAATTTTTTAGAATTAAATCGATTTATTTTTCAACATAGTCCCCTTTTAGCTCGATACACTTAGTAAGACAATGTTTCAATTTTTTTATCCCATCCGAATAGTACTTTTGCTCGAGCTCTTTAAAATAGGACGAAGTTTCAGCGACGACTTCATCATTTGTTGCGAAACGGCGTCCTCCGAGCCATTTTTTTAGGTTTGGAGATAGGAAAAAATCGTTGGTAGCAGTGGGTGTTCAATCAATTCATACCCCAATTCGTGTAATTTTGTCATGGCGATGGCCGATCGGTGAGCCGGTGCATTGTCTTGGTGAAAGAGCACTTTTTTGCGTTCCAAACCGGGGCGTTTTCGACGCAATTCGGCATCGAATCGATCCAATAATGCTGCGTAGTGCTCACCATTGATTGTTTTTTCTTTTTCCAAGTAGTCGATGTGGATGATGCCCTTCGCATCCCAGAAGACAGTCGCCATCACTTTGCCCGCCGAATGTGCACACTTTGCCTTCTTCGGCGGCCCTTCGCCGCGTTTGCGCCACTGTTTCGACTGTTCTTTGGTTTCCGGTGTGTAATAATGCACCCAGGTTTCATCAACGGTGATATATCGATAAAAAAATCCTTAGGATCGCGCTGTATCATCGCTAAGAGCGTCGCTAAAGTGGTCACACGTTTTCGCATTTGACCGATTGTCAGCAAACGCGGCACCCATCGCGCGGATAGCTTTTTCATGTCCAAATGATGGCAAACGATGTTGTGCACGCGTTCGTAGGAAATGTTTAGGACCTTTTTTAACTCGCGGTGCTTAATTCGACGATCTGCCATAATCATGTCATGGACTTTGTTGATCATTTCCGGCGTGGTGACTTCATTTGGCCTCCCAGGACGCTCATCATCAAAAACACTCGTACGACCACGAACAAATTCAGCTTTCCAAAATTTTACTGTTGTTAACGAAGGTGCAACCTCACCATAAACTTCTTGTAGCTCGGCTTTGATTTGTACTTTTGTTTTACCCTTCTTGTGGAGGAACTTAATCACCGAACGATACTCGACTTTTTCCATTTCTCCGAAAACACAAAATTTGCTTGCTTTTGACGGCTGTAAAAACCAAACTAATTGTTTTAAAAACTTAATATTTTGACAGACGTCATATCATGAATGGCAAATGTCAAGATCGAAACCAATTCGGTATCAAGTAGCGCAATCTATCAAAGGATAGTTTAATATCAGTCTATCCTCGTAATATACATACTGTACTAGACTCATTCCTCTGATTATCGTAAATAAGATACTAATAGTGACAACACAAACTTAACCCTTATCCGGGCAAGTTGGGTCAACGGGCCCGAGACGCCAATTCTTTTATCATAAACTGATAAAAAATTTTTTATTGAATTTTATGCATCACTGAATTTGTTTAGACGTATGTTTCCTTCAACATAGTTATGAGCTATTCAAAATATTCATTATCATTTTTAAATTATTGCGTCAAAAGATTTTTGTCACGTAAATGAGCAACACAACCCTATTTGTATTTATACTTAAAGTCTAAATTTTTGTTACATAAGTTAATCTGGCAGTCAGGTTATGTTTTTGTGAATTATCTAAACGACTTACTTCATCTAATTTAGATAACGATGCACGTCATTATCTACGTAAGAGATCGAAGTTGAGATAGTTGCCAAAGTATAAAAAAATCCTGACTACATTTTAAATCAAAGAGATCACATAATTATTGCAAAAGTATTACCATCTCTTTACAACGACTTTTTAAATTATTACGTGACATTATTTAAATAAAACACACTAATTTTGTTCTAAAAAGAACAGATTTGATTAAATAGGTAAAAGTATCAAACAAGAGGTATTCACTTTAAAATTCAAAATAATAAAGTACAAAAAGTGTCAACACCGCAATTGTTAAATAAGTGTTACCAGTTTATGCCAAAATTTCACCTTCGTTCGATTACAGTTACATTGTGTTCCGAACAAATGTTCTTCATATAAAAGCTTTTTAATGCATTTATACAAATTAAATTAAACATATTATTGTGTATTTCTTTAAATTAACATTAATAGAAATTTTGAAATATTATTTCTACGCGTATATAATAAAATATGTCTAGTGGCTGTAATGCCAGTGTACTCGGCAAAGTGATTCTAAAAAGAACACACCTATCGCCTAAATATTTCGTGTTGGTATCCTGTGACGTCACCTGCTATGACGCCGATGACGGGCATCGGTATATAAATTAGATAAAGTGTATATGATTCCGGAAAGCCTAAACGTGTAACGAACAATGCAAACACCTCTTTGAGGTGAAAATCAAAGAGATGCTTACAATAGGTGTTATATCTATTCTAAATGAGTTTTAAAAACTGATAATCATTGTTGGAATGCAATAATACTATTAGGTAGGTACCTATACATATTTTAAAATTAATAGTGCATGTGCTATCAGTCGTTTGATATCGATGTTAGTGTCGAAAACTAAACTCCTAAAATTATACTGAATTACAGTGAAAGTAGATAGTGCATCTAAAATGTCCCTAAAACCATTATCAGCTGCAGAACTGCAAGATATTGCTAATAGTTCGGTCTCACCAACATACTCAGCTTCACAATGAGTATGTTGGTGAGACCGGAAGAAATCTCTCAAATCGCATTATTTCTCACAAAAGTGATTGCAGAATTAAGAAACCATCTTGTGCTTTGGCAGAGCATATAATAGACAAAGACCATATTATGGATTTTGATAATATTAAAATTTTATGTAGTGAAAGTAATACATTTAAAAGAACTTTTTTGGAAATGGTTTGTATTAGCAAAAGTGATAATAATTTAAACAAAAGGTCAGAAATTCAAAATCTAAACAAAATTTATAATTATATTATTTCTATCTAGTTTATATATTATGAAATCAGTAAAACATCACATTTTGATTTAATTTTCCATGTATTTGTTACATTTGTTCAGGCATCTATTATTGGTGAATAAATCTTCTTGTTTTTTGTTACTAAACAAAAAATAGTTTTTAAACAAAATTTTATTTTTGACAATATAATCGTCAAAGATAAAAATTTTTAAGTTGATATTTATGACATTAAGGCTTATTTGTAACTATTAAATTTTATTTACAAATTTAATTGTTTTTGTTAAGAAACTTTTTCAAAATTAAAATTTCAGGGAAACGTTTATTAATATTGTTCTGAAGCTATTTTCTTGTGGCATTGTAAATTAATTACTATTAAACTGGGAATAAGCCACAATTAAAGATAAAAATACGTTTATTGACGTTTCAATTTTTACTTCGGAAATCGTTCTCAAAATACAAACAGTAAATTAAACAAATTTTGTTTTTTGTTACATAGTGAAAAATTCTTCTAATAATTTAATTTTATCTGACTCATTTATATTGACAATTCAGACATACATTATGCATTTTAAAGTAGACGACTTTAAAATGATATTGCCAATATTGTTGAGTTGCGCTCCTGGGACGACTTTACTTATAAGATAGTTCATTCGATTACATGAAATCAACTTTAACTTGAGAATATCCGTCAGAAAAAAATCATAGCATGTAATTCGTCTTTAAAAAGACAAACACATGACATGATGACAGTAAAATTCTCCTGTTAGTGATTCCATAGTAAATTATCAGGGAAAAACCAGGAAAAAAAACCTCATAATACTATCCCGACATTGTAAGTATTTGTTCGTGAATTTAGTTTACCTTCAACAAACATCAAAATTCTGATTTTATATGTTACGTTATTTAAAAAACATAAATGATGTATCCTCTATATGTTACTGACTTACTAATACTGGTATTTTCTTATTAATAACTTCGTCTTTCAATATTGGTAACCAGATCCTACTACATTCTGCCGAGGAATTTGCGACACAATTGGCCTCATTTAGCATAATTAGAGCCGCTTCTTTGATTTTTCGTTTTTTACCATCCGTTTCTTTTAATTACCAATATTGAAAGAGGAAGTTATTAATAAGGAAATACCAGTATTAGTAAGTCAGTAACATATAGAGGATACATCATTTATCTTTTTTAAATAACGTAACATTTAAAATGAGAATTTTGATGTTTGTTGAAGGTAAACTAAATTCACGAACAAATACTTACAATGTCGGGATAGTATTATGAGGTTTTTTTTTCCTGGTTTTTCCCTCATAATTTACTATGGAAACACTAACAGGAGAATTTTACTGTCATCATGTCATGTGTTTGTCTTTTTAAAGACGAATTACATGCTATGATTTTTTTCTGACGGATATTCTCAAGTTAAAGTTGATTTCATGTAATCGAATGAACTATCTTATAAGTAAAGTCGTCCCAGAAGCGCAACTCAACAATATTGGCAATATCATTTTAAAGTCGTCTACTTTAAAATGCATAATGTATGTCTGAATTGTCAATATAAATGAGTCAGATAAAATTAAATTATTAGAAGAATTTTTCACTATGTAACAAAAAACAAAATTTGTTTAATTTACTGTTTGTATTTTGGGAACGATTTCCGAAGTTGAAATTGAAACGTCAATAAACGTATTTTTATCTTTAAATGTGGCTTATTCCCAGTTTAATAGTAATTAAACGTTTATTGGAATAAAACATTTCTGTATTAATGTTTTGTAAATTATGTTAGCAGTTTTTTTTATACAAAACTAATTTTATTTGGTGAGTTAACAAAAATTTTTTTATTTCTGTTTCAACTTTGTAAGATATTTTGTATTTTTTAGCAGCTCGAGTAAAAATTAATTAACAGTTCCTTTTATTGACTCCAACCCATCCAAAACAGTTTTATAAATAAATAAATATATATATATATATATATATATATATATATATCTATATATATATATATATATATATATATATATATATATATATATATATATATATAACCTAGAGCTAAGATTAATATTATTACTAAAATTAATATCAAACTCACCCGTCTTCCGGGTTGAACCGCGTCGTTGTCCATTTTGCCAAGCTTTCGGCATCCTCTCTGATGCCTTCCTCAGGGCTTCCGAGGTCTCAGTCTCCCGAGCCCCCAGACACTACTACACTGTTCACTATTCACGGCACTGTCACTGTGTAGTAGTGTCTGGGGGCTCGGGAGACTGAGACCTCGGAAGCCCTGAGGAAGGCATCAGAGAGGATGCCGAAAGCTTGGCAAAATGGACAACGACGGGGTTCAACCCGAAGACTGGTGAGTTTGATATTAATTTTAGTAATAATATTAATCTTAGCTCTAGGTTTTATTGCACTAGCCGCGGATCTTTCCGAATATATATATATATATATATATATATATATATATATATATATATATATATTATATATATATATATATATAAATGTATATACTGCTATTTTTGAAATATAAACATTTGTTATATTTCAGGTCGGGTATTCAAGATTTATCTAAAACAACAGGTTTCATACGAAATAGATTTTCTACTAGCGATTTGGATAACAATACAATGATCGGATTCTCCTCGTTTTCTAAAAATGACCGTCTGTCGGAGAAATATATATCCGTTGCGTGTCCCATAATAATACTAGATAAAAATAAAACCGTCCTTTTGGTTACTGGAGGTATTGGAGACAATACATTATTATCCAATATACTGCAGGTAAAGAAGCAGCTAAATCATTCAGTAAAGGGATTGTATATTTTAAATTTAAATTAAGTGTCTTTATATAATATATATATATATATATATATATATATATATATATATATATTTATATATATATATATAATATATATATCTATATTTATCTTATATATGATTTGCTAATTACATTTATATTATGCAGTTTTTATTGACATGTCATGCCTATGCAGCTCCCATTTTTTTTTGGTTTTTCTCTTTAAATCGTTTCACAAACTTGAAAATCAGTCATTTTTTCCATTGGATAATTAACGTCTAAACGTTGAACACGTCCCAACAATCTTAACCCATGCTTTATCTGTTTATCATCAATCGGTACCACCCCAAGACCTCCACCAAGAGAGTAATTCTTAATTTTATCTTTTTTTGTCACTCCACTCATCCATTTTCGTTTAGTTTCGTACATCCTAGCTGATCTTATGACAGTTTTATGATATTTTACATTATAAAGCATCATTTATCTTACTCCAAAATCATCTTAAATTTTAATAAATGCTTGTCTGTACTATTTGAATCACAGTTAAAGAAATATTTTAACTTTTGGTTGCATATTTATATCCATTAATTGTGTACTTGTAGGTGCTTAGCAACTTTTTCTGGGGTAATATGGATATAGAATCAGCAATTTTAACTAAAAAAGCATATAGCCCACTTGTCAACTCAAATAATTATAAAGAGGACATGCTAAGTGATAATGTGAGTATTTTATAAAACTGATTTAATTTAACGTATTAAAATATAAAATTGTATTGTGTTACTGTATTGCTAAATTAAGTAGCTTAAATGATGTCGTAGTAGGTTTGTGGAAGGGGTCATTCTAACAAGTTGTTTTACGCTAAAAGTTTAAATTGTTATAATATATAACTTGTGGTTTAACTTACAGATACAATCAATCTTTTTTTTTTCAAAGAAATGTACAGAAGATGGACCAGGGAAAGTCCAAGTGGTAGAACAAAAAACGAATCCGGGTACATCATAAGTGATACAAAAACAATAATTAAAGATGGAAACAGTACTTAACAAGTTCACCACAAGCAGTAATCACAGAATAATACGAGCGAAAGTTTAAATCAACATAAAAAGAGACAGGAACATCATTATTAAAAATAAATCTCATGTATCTGGCTGGACACACCCATTAGATATCACCCAATATCAAGCAAATATCAATAATAAGCTACTACTGCATAACACCTCCGAGAACTATCTTAACCACTTGAATAATTGCATCTTAAATACCTCACAAGAAGTGCACTGTAAAGAAAAAAATCAGATAGTAAAATGAGTCTATATACTGAAACGCTGCTGGATCAAAGAAGAAAAATGAGAAGCGCTAAGAATGCAGACAGCCACACTCTAAGAAAAATGAAAAAACTGTTTCGAAGGCAATCAGGAGATTTAAGGAAATTTAAAACCAATAATATTAAACGTACTATACAGGAAAATTACAGTCTAAAAGTTCTATATAGAAAGCAAAAGAATGGAAATTTAAAATTTGTAAATTAAGAAACTAGCAAAATAAAATAATATCACGTAGAGACAAGTTAATATAGGTCTTCGAAGAGTTTTACGATAGAATTATATGAAACAGGACGAAAAGATCAAACAGGAATACAAACAGCCATTTCAAAGAAGATCATAAATCAAGGTTCCCAACTAATGCCAGAGATAAAGGTTGATAAGATTCGACAAGCGTTAAGAAAAATTAGAGATAAAAAAGCGATTACCTTAAAGGAGAGTATGGAATTGTATTAGAAGCTATCGTTAATAAAGGAGATATGCTATTAAATAAATTAAGGTAACTGTTTAATCTATGTTTGCAGCAAAGAGAGGTGCCAAAAAATAAAACAATGCTAGACACATCCTGTTGCGTAAAAAATGAAATAGAACAAAACTAGAAAATATACCTATTAGCCTATTGAACCACATATACAAGCTCTTCACTAGGTTAGTGACATCAAGATTGGAGAAAAAATTAGGTTTCTACCAACCGAGAGAGCAGGCAGGATTCCAATTAAATTATGTACCAATGGTCACCTTCATACAGTAAAGATACTCATTAAAAATTTGTAGAATAAAATAAAATCTTGTCCTTACTTTCATAGATTTTCATAAAGCGTTTGACACGATCAAATAGACAGCCTTATAGAAGCTATATAATAAACTTATTTAAAATATTTACAAAAATGCCACTATGACTGTTAAGATACACGATAAAACCCGACCAATAAAAATAAAACGTGGGATAAGACAAGGAGACACATTGTCACCGAAATTATAATAACGGCATTCGACTGTGCTTTTAAAATGGTCAATTGGGACCACAGAACAGTAATAATAGTCAAAGTTGCCGTTTCACCGATGACATTATCCTTATCACAGATAATTTAGGAAAAGCCACAAATATGTTAAATAAATTGGACTTTGCATGTTTACCAAAACTAAGTTACTGACAAATTTGATGCCCCAAAAACCATTTGTCTATTTAAGACAAAGTGGTAAAACTGGTGGAGAAATATACGTATTTGGGTAATAGAATAAGAATCAACAGAGATACCCAAATATGCGAAATCCAAATACGAATTACTTTATCCTGGGCAGCCTTTGGAAAACTGCGAAAACACACTTAGGGCCAATATACCAATTAGCCTCAAAATAAAAGTATTTGATCAATGAGTATTACCGGTCATGACCTATGGGGCCGAAACTATGACTCAAATCAAGACTATGGCTTCAAAATTTGAAGAATAAAAAACAAAGACCTGCGAAGAAGGACGATTATTGCTGATGTTGAAGAACGAATAGCGGAACTGTAATGAGACTGGGCTGGCCATGTAGCGACAATTCATGACTCATGATCGAAGGACAAAATTACAAATTGGAGGTTAACAGCAGATTAAGGCAGTAAAGGAACACCACCTCCATGCTATGGGCATGCCGCGGCCATGTGGGCTGGCGACCTCAAGCGTATCACTAAAAATTGGCAACAAAGAGCACAAAATCGTAAAAAGTGGAGGGAGGCCTATGTCCAGCAGTGGACGTAATAAATGAATTTTGGATGACATGATGATATATTAGACAAAATTTGTCCAAATTTTATTTTATAATTGTTCTAATTGTGTCTTTTTTTAGTATGCACTGTAAAAATTTTGTGGTGCTCTGTTTACTCTCTAATTTTACTGTGAACTTTTCCTTAATTTATTTTGCTTATAGTCTAGATTTGTTAATGTTTTAAAAAGTAAAAGTAAAAGACTAAATTTATATATAAATATTTTATACAAGAGAAAATCACTTATCTCTTGGATGTGACCCGAACTATCTGGGGTCTAACTATAAAATCTTAATTGATTATCTATAATTTGTTTCTCATTTATGGTAGTAATTTGCTTTAAACTTATGAATTAAATAATAAAGCATTGCGTTTTGTTTACGAGATTGCTTCATATATACTTACATATTTAATTTTAATGAAATCAGTTTGAAAAAATTTACTATGCGCTGTAAAAATTTTGTGGTGCTCTGTTTACTCTCTAATTTTACTGTGAACTTTTCCTTAATTTATTTTGCTTATACAGTCCGTCCCAAATCCTTCTTTCAGTGCGTCACTAATTTTGACGTCATATAGGATTTTAAGAATGTCGAGAATTATTGCATGATATTTTAGTTAAATCTGACAGTTGCAGGATCGTAATCGGCTAAATGTGAAAAGGTTATTTTTTTTTAATATGAATAAAAACTTTAACAATTAAAAAAAATTTTAATTTACATATTAGAGGTCCCGTCCTGTATATAAATTTTTATTGCGCATTATATTGGAACGACAGTTTGTCATAATTCCTATTCTATACATTCCAAGGAAAATGCTTAATTAGCTAAGATTTATTTATGGATTTATTATTATTTATTACAAACACTATGAATTGGAATGTTTGTTTATTTAAAATAACGCTTCCTCCTAGAATCTTTTAAGAGTTGACTGCCAGATAAAAAATTTTACTGCAAACATTCCTGTGACAAATTAATAGCATCGATTGAAATCAGTCATATTCGGAAAAGTAATTTTCCGATAAGTTTCTGTGGCAACCAATAGTTTAATTTTGTGAAGATTTATCATTAAATATTGGAAATAGTTTAAATAGTGAAGCAGTTGATTTTTGAGTTATTCTACCAGATTTGGTGTGCAAATGAAAGAGTGTTATAAAGTTTAGTTAAAAAAACAATGTAAATAGTTTAAATAGTGAATCAGTTGATTTTTGAGTTAATCTACCAGTTCCGTATGCAGATGAAATATGTTAATGAGTTAAGTTAAAAATGTAAGTTACTCTTTTTTATGATACCGAATGTAAGTTTACCTTCTTTTTTTATGAATAACAAAAATGAATATTATATTTCAAACAATCCATAATCCGATTCAGAATCTGATTCATTAAAATCAATGATTACAGGGATATGTGGCTGGCATCAATTATATCTTACATTTCAAGAAAATGTGGTTCTAAAAAGAACCGTTTTAATACATATAAATATCCATAAAGGTAATAGTTTAAGATATTTCCTCAATATCATTCCTGAATTCACAATCTGATTCAGTATCTGATTCGTTAAAATCAATAATTATAGGAGATATGTGGCTGGCATCAATTTTTTTGGCCGTCTCCCAGTATTCATTTATGATATCTTCTGCATGTCTTACATATTCCTTCTATTTTTCTGGTGTAACCTTAAATTTAACCACAATTATTATCCAATTATTATCTACGAATTTTAGTGCTTTTGAATTACCTGTTCTAATGCTTCTTTCCAAATACTTAATACAGTACTTTCATTTACAGTACCTGCAGAAGTTATTTTTGCATCATAATATCTTTTAGAATCTGACCAAACATTCTCAATTGGGTTAAACTGGCAATGATATGGAGGCAATCTCAATACTCTATGACCATGTTGAAGTGCCAGTACATCTAATCTGTAGAATAAAACAAACATAATCTCATTTATTAAATATTTCTTAATACACACTTAAAAACTTTATCTGGTAAATGTTTTTTACCACTTCCAATAATTCAAGTTTCATCATGGTTGTTGAAACATGTATATGTATTGCTTTTAACCATTCTACTAAAGAGTGTTTAGTCGAACTTGAATTTGGTATTTTTTCCACTAAACTGGAGTGGTAAGGTGCATTGTCCATAATTATTAACGATGGTTCTTCTAAATTTGGCAATAGTTGATATTCAAACCATTTTTCAAAATTTTTTGCATTCATCGAATCATGATAATCTCCAGTTTTTTTTCAACTTTTGAAAATTAGACTGCAATTATCAATGAATCCATTTTTACAGCCCGCATGGAGTACAATATGTCGTAAACCTTCTCGATATTTTCGATTTGTTATATTGTAGTTTAACCATCTGAATTTCATATCTTTTAAAACTCTACTTAGTGAACTAGTAGAATTGGTAATTTCATTTATGTCCTTCAGTTTTTATTGAAGGGTATTTAAAGGGTAACATGTTGGCCTAAAATGAACAAAAAAAAATTTAAAGACGCCAGTGATATTTCAGTAGGTTATGGCAAACTATATTTTGATACAAACCTTCACTAAACATTCTGTATACACGAGTTCTAATAACATGTTCATATTTATTGGTTAATGAAGGTCCTAAATTATCACATACTGAAGTACTCATTGCCACAGAATAGCTAGCATCTGTTTGAATGCCTTCATTTGCCAATCGTCTTATTGTTGGTAACAAAACTCCTAACGCCTCGGCAACACGCTAAAATGTATGGCATTTAAAATACTATTAATATTTTTTAGAATATTTTAAAACTTACTTCACGAACGGCAGAAACTGGTAATAAAGTTGTTCCAGCCTCTTTTTCTAATTGAAATAATTTAATAATTTTAATATTAGTTTTTGTTCTTTCTCGGTGTATCTCGGCATATTTAAAATGTTTTTATGACAATAAATACAAAATTAAATGTTCACTGTAAAATGTCTGAAAATACTAACCTGTAATGACAATTATCATTTTATCAGTTGACATTGTGAAAGTACTGTCACGATCCAGATCATCTGCGTCAAATTATATTTATGCGCATCATTGATTGGATATCTATTTAGCGTATTCTAAACTCAACCAATTATACATCCGTAAGTAGAATTCGCTTTAATATGCAAATACCCGTGAACGATACATAATTTTCTAAGTTCTATATATAATAATCACAGACTCACGTTTTTTTCTGTCACTTCTAGCTTAATGCGTTAGAGAGAATTCGATCAACCATGACGCACTAAAAGAAGGGTTTGGGACGGACTGTAGTCTAGATTTGTTAATGTTTAAAAAAGCAAAAGTATAAGACTAGATTTATATATAAATATTTTATACAAGAGAAAATCACTTATCTCTTGGATGTCACCCGAACTATCTGGGGTCTAACTATAAAATCTTGATTGATTATCTATAATTTCTTTCTCATTTATGTGGTAATTTACTTTAAACTTATGAATTATATAATATAGCATTGCGTTTTGTTTACGAGATTGCTTCATATATACTTACATATTTTATTTTAATGAAATCAGTTTGAAAAAATTTCTCTAAAGAAAAATACATTTTTGCTTCTGATAACTTTATTAGCCAGCAATTTTTTTACGTTTCCCTATCCTTTTCGTTTTTATTTATGCTTTTGACGCTTTTATCTCTTATGTTTTTAGCTTATTTACTAATTTATGTGATATTTTTACCTCTGTATATTTTCTAAAATGAATTTTTTCCCAAAGCAAATTTTATTACCATTTTCTTAGCTCTGAAAATTCTATCTCGCTTTATTGATTTTGATCTGTACATATATTTATCTGTACTTATATAGAAAGGATTATTTGAATATCTACAAAAGAAAATGCTCTTTAATCGTTTTTTTAATTGTTTACATTTTAGCTTAAAAACGAAACCCTTGACATGAATGAGAAGATGTTTCTTTTGAGGATGGTGAGTTTTCAGCAGTTTCTGCGATATTCAATTCCAAGGTTAATGGCGTTACAAGAGTGTATGATAAAACAATTGGAGGTTCGGTTTCCTATGTAACCTGAAAACCTTTTTCTCATCAGTCTGGGACGTATCTATATTATTGTGTATATAAAAAAGTATTGAAATAGCCAAAAGAAAGATTGAAATGTGTATTTATATAAGGAATAAAATATGACAATTTTTTAATTTGAATTTTATTTGTTTACTAACATTGCTATTTTTTATAAATTAAACCTTAACAAAAATAAATTTAACTTAAAACGTTAAAACATTTTAAGCACAATTTTTTGATCGATGCGAAAAGTAACATTTTTTAGTGTCAGTGGAGATCGAAATGCGGGATTCGACAGAAGTTGAAGCCATGAATTGCTGCAGTCGCCTAACGCATGCTACAAACTTTCGAATTTGTGAGAAATTTATTTATTTCGATTTATTTATTTATTTATTCTTTGTAAAATGATTTTAAAGATTAGTTTCTTAATGTAGATTTCTAAAACCTGCAATAGATGTGTTTTGATCGCTTTTTTGTTTAATAATCGATACAATAAACCTTGAACTAAACCTGCCTTTGGGCTTCGAAGACGGCTCTGCTGAAATATCATAAGATTAGTGATGGAGAGTCTATCATCATAATTACGACTTACACAGCTATATTGTGGCTTTAGCCTAATTATTTTTAAGTTGGATTTTATCGCGACTAAGATATGGCGCATTGGCCTGGAAAACTCAAAATTAGGTCTGAAGTATATTGAAAGAAAGTATGACACGTTCAACATACATAAAAAAGTAAGAGAAATTACAGAAACCCAAAGAAGACGTCAAATAAGTTTGCTTAAGAACAAAGATGAAAAGATTATTATAGATTTAACAGAGAAAATTAATAGATGGAGTGAATACATAAGAGAATTATTTGAGGACAACAGAAATATAATTGTTCTGATATATGGCGAAACGGGACCTGAAATTCTAAAATATGAAGTAGAAATGGCACTTAAAAATTCCAAAACTGGGAAGGCAAATGGACCGGATGAGGTTCCTACCGAATTGCTAAAGCTCTTAAATAATGAATCAATAGGTATAATATTGCACTTATTTAATACAATATACAATACTGGTATTATACCTCAAGAGTGGCTGTTGTCTACATTCGTTACACTGCCAAAGAAATCTAATTAATAATAACAATATCTTTAATGAGCCACCTACTAAAGATATTTCTAAAAATCATCCACAACCGAGTTTATCAAAAGTTGGAGTCAGATATTAGTAATACACAGATGGGGTTCAGAAAACGGCTTGGTGCTCGAGAAGCTCTCTTCGGTTTGAATGTTCTTACACAAAGATGCCTAGACGTTAATCAGGAGGTACATACGTGTTTTATCGATTTTGAAAAAGCGTTTGACAGAGTACGCCATGATAAGCTTAGAGAGATTCTTGAAAGGAAGGACATAGATAATAAAGATCTGCGAATAATTCTCAATCTATATTGGAATCAGAAAGCTAACATCAAAATAGAAACTAAAACATCACAACCAATAGAAATACGTAGAGGAGTACGACAGGGTTGCATTTTGTCACCTCTGTTATTTAATGTATATAGTGAAAGCATCTGTCAGGAAGCCCTTTTACAAGCAAACGGAGGAATCGTAATTAATGGAGAGATTGTAAATAATATTCGATACGCGGACAACACTGTACTAGTTGCAAGAACAGTAGAAGAATTACAAAGATTACTTACAGACGTAAATATTGCTTGCAACAATTATGGTATAAATATCAATATTAAAAAAAACCAAGTATATGGTCTTCAGTAAAAACATGACACAACCAGCTTATATTAGTATAAACGGCACTAAAGTTGAAAAAGTATCAAGTTACAAATATTTGGGAACTTTAATAAACGAAACTGGAGACCAAAACAGTGAAATAAAAAGACGTATCGAAATTGCCAGGGCCACCTTCATAAGGATGAGAAAATTCTTCTGCAACAGAAATATAAGCATCCCTCTACGATTAAGAATGCTAAGAGGCTATTATACGGTGTAGAGGCCTGGACTCTCAAACAGAACAACATGAAAAATATTGAAAGTTTCGAGATGTGGTGCTACCGTCGAATGCTGAAAATTAGTTGGGTTGAAAGAATAACAAACTGTGAAGTAATACGAAGAATAGGAAAAGACCCAGAGATTTTGTTAACGCTAAAGCGAAGAAAACTCGAATATTTTGATCACCTGATGAGAGGACATAAATACGCATTACTTCAAAATATAATGCAGGGAAAAATAGAAGGAAAACGGAATCCTGGAAGAATGTCATGGTTTTGGAATTTGAGAGAGTGGTTTGGCTGCACCACTAATGAACTTTTTAGGTCAGCCGTAAACAAGGTCAGAATAGCCTTTATGATTTCCAATCTCCGATAGGAGTGGCACAAAAAGAAGAAGATATTGAGTAAAGTTTTTTAAAAGAGGTTAGGGACATACGTGTAAAACATTTACAGATCAAAAACAGTTTCGAGTTTGCAAGTTTACATTACACCGACATTACATGATCAGACTAATTTAAGTCATTATTAATTATCATTCCGTTTTGAGGAGTTACCGAGTTTGAGGTATGTCCATTAATAAAGTACGATGGTGATGGGTTATTTTTACCGATATGCAGAACAACGCATTTCATTTCTTAATGTTAAGCGGAAGTAAACATTCTTATTACCTTTTGAATATTGCGTCAAGATGGTGATAAAATATGCTGGTTAATAATTGGATTCACATATAATTTGGTATCATCAGCGTAAATGGAAACCTTACTGGAGACAATACAGAGACAAACCTTACTGGAAACCAAATGATAATAACCCTAAGAACTACAGACCAATAGCCCTGCTATCGGTAACTCCAAGCTACTAAAACGACTTATCTACAATAGAATTAGTCCAAAGCTACTTGAATCAATACCGATTGATCAGGCAGGTTTCCGACTGAAAAGAAGCTGCGTAGATCGGTTCTTTCACTTACCACATTTATTGAGGCAGGGTTCCACAGAAAACTTAAAACTGCAGCCGCATTCATAGACCTAACAGCGCAGCGGCCTATGATACAGTCTGAAGGGAATGAATGATATACAAGCTCCTCCGTATAATCCATGTCAATCGACCGCTCAAATAATCAACAGCATGCTAGCCGACCAAACGATTCAAGTAGTCATGGGAACCGACATCAGCACCCCAAGAAAACTGAAGAATGGAATGCCTCCGGGATCTGTTCTAGCTCCTCTTCTCTTTAGCTTGTACATCGCTGTTGTACTAGAAACCAGATCAAGGAAGTTTGGTTACGCCGATGACTGGTTCCTTGCAACAAGGTGTAAGTCATTTGAACAAACAGAAGAAATCCTCACAGCAGACTTACACACAGTGAGACAATATTTCCGTAAATGGAGGCTTCAGCCAAACCAGTTTTCATCTTAATAAAAAGCTTGCAGAAAGAACACTCAACATCCAATTCGACAACACCACATTCGCCAACAATAAAACACCAAAGTATATTGGAGTGACTTTTGACAAAACCCTATTTTTCAAGTAACATCTGTCAATAACAGCGAAAAAATTTAAATCCACAAAACAACATCATCCAGAAGCTGTGTGACATAACGTGGGAGCATCGGCTTCCACCTTGCGATCATCTGCATTGAGCCTTGTCTTCTCAACTGCGGAATACTGTTTTCACTGCTACCTTTCAGCTTGGCTTAACAGCCCACATAAAAACAAAGTAGATACCCAATTAAACAATATAACACATTTCACCACCCAAACTACTGTGCATAAACTCCCTCATTAGTGAGTAGAAAAGGATACTTACTAACGAGATCCTGCCAATTTATGAAGATATAGATGCTACCAACGGTAACCGTTATGCTCCAGACCACCGCCAATAAAAACAGCATAGATTGCTATGTAAAGTGTGTTCAACTTAACGGCCACTTGGACTCGAGAATGGATGGAACAGCAAAATAGCAGCTTACCCTGCATCACACAAAAACCACAAGGTTTTTACTTACCACGCAACACATGGACTATGCTGAACCGAATTAGAACCCAACATGGCAGATGCGGTTACATGATGCACAAATGGGGTAAACGACCATCTCCACTCTGTGACTGCGGACAATCCCAAACCATCTGTCACATTACAGAACAGTGTCCCACAAGATCCTATCAAGGCAGGTCAGAGGATTTCCTAATGGCGACTCCAGAGTCGATAGACTATATAAATAAGTTAGATGTTCGTTTGTAAACATATATGTATTATGTTTTATACAAAATATATCGCACCCTTGCTTCAAAAGTGATACTAGATATTAAAAATGTAAATTACTATTTAACTGGGAATAAGCCACAATTAAAGATAAAAATACGTTTATTGACGTTTCAATTTCCACTTCGAAATCGTTCTCAAAATACAAACAGTAAATTAATAAACGTATTTTTATCTTTAATTGTGGCTTATTCCCAGTTAAATAGTAATTAATTTAAAATGCCACAAGAAAATAGCTTCAGAACAATATTAAAAATGTAGTGTTTGGCGAAAAGCAAAAAATTCATTTTTCATTGGATATGGGATATTTATATGATTTAAAATTACAACCAGCTATAGTTTGGTCTTATAAACAACATTTAAGTTAAGATTTGTTTGGTATCTCTTTTTTATTACCTTAAAAATACAATTTTTTGAGTAGACGTTTTACATTAAGAGACTAAAAATGAGAAGAATACATTAAAGACATCTTTGAAATGTAGTAACTGCAATTAAGTATTAATTATTAATTAAAAAGATTCAGTTTAGATCAAAACTTGTTTGTAGAAAGATCCATTATACAAGTTTGGTATTATATTTTTATCAACAAGTTCTTTAAGGTCTTTCTTCTTGTTGTAGCTAGCGGCAATCTGTTTGCATTATGGTCTTACCAAACGCATTTCAGATTCGACGGATTTCTTCTATATAATTTATACTAAACACTGTAAATAGCTTAATTAGTCTAAGTAATCTGCAACCATACCAGTATGTCAATAAAAATTATTTTATTGTTCTTAATTCTACTAGAATTTGAATATAAATTTTGTTTCACTTTTCCATTTATTTCTGACATAGGATTATTATTTCATTT